TATATACAATTTTATTATGGAATTTGAAACTAATAGTAGAATACCAAAGAAGAAATAACACTTGATGAAAGAATTCTATTGTAATATCAAATCGTGCTAACATAAGCATGGAGTTACATGATAATGGATTGCAAATGGTATAAGATTGTCATCAATTGTAGGTGAAAAGATAAAAAGATTTGAATAAATTTAAAATGTTATACAAAACTCATAGATGAGCTCTCCCTATTAATCACTCCACAAACCATGGTAATGATATTCCATCTTAGACAAGTCTCCACAAAAGTTTTTTGTTAGACAACATGAGAATTACGATTCTTTAAAAGTGAAATAAGTTTGTACGTACATTTTTAATGGGAGTATATTTGTTAGTAAATAAATAGATTAATACGGAGTAGAATAAAATGAAAAAAAAATGTTACTAAGCAACTATTCAAAACTTGGACAAACTTCACCAAGATATTACTATGTTAAGAAAGTTGCAAAGGACAACCGTAGTTACATAATTTAGCTCTTTCCTATTCAAAACAGGTTTCAACTACTTACTTGCAAAGGATAACACTAATTTTCGCATACTTTAGCTCTTTTCTTCTTTCCAAGATAAGATACGAGCTGAGAAGGAATTGACTGGCTTTCATTCGATTCAGAAAGTCATGATGAATATACTCGATTGATTCGAGGCTACCCATATGTTTGAACATCACATGAGTGAGGGTAGAGACGTAGAGTTGCATGGAATAGAGGAAAAACTTGAGAAAAGCTTGATATAATTCTTTTCAATGATAAATGGAATGCTGGAACGTAACTTTTTGTTTAATACTCTTAGTAGCTAGCACTCGCATAGGATGAATATACTGATACCTTTGCGTTGTACGAAAATGTGGAGAAACTACGTTACGTTACAAGGATGTAGATGCTCAAATTAAAAGAGGGGAGCAAATTACACTACAAAAAAAACAGGGCGTTAGTCACGGATTTAATCACGGACCGTAGTATAAAAATTCGTGACTAAGTCTGCTAGTCACGGATTATTTTTCTCTCTTTTACGCAAGTTTCAATAACATCATTTTTACTTCATTATTTTTGTGTCTGTCAAACTTAACAAAGTTTTGGGCACGGAAAATATTAGACTACTGTTGTTACAATTTTTTCTTTGTAAATATACTCCGTTGTCCGTACATAGTAAGCCAAAATTAGAATAGTGAAAGCAGGTAATATCGATCTGCTAATGCACAGTTGACACGTTTTTTCGAGGTAACCTTTGTGTTGTGCCCTGAAAACTGCTCCTAGATCTGACTACACAATATCTTCAAACCATGTGGCCCTTATCAGTGACTGTCCAGATCCATAGTGATCCGACCCAAGCCCAATCAGTCCAACTCAATTAATCCAAAAGATGGAACATCTATAACTACATATAGCCTGTTTCTGCCATCTGCTTCTGTACGGGCCCTGTCAATATACCAAGTACGAATATAAGATACTCCCTCCGTAACATTCATATCTTCCCACTTTCCTTTTTTGGATGTAACATTTATATCTTCCCATTTCTAAATCTTCCCATTATATCCTCAATAATTTAAAAAACAATACACTATTACACCTACTTTTTTTTGGATTTATCCTTCATTCCATCATATTATTTCACTATCTTCCCATCATACCATCAATAATTCATATCCTCTTTCACTATTCTTAATCTCACCCACTTTTGAAGTGAGAAGATATATGTAATACGGAGGGAGTAGGTCCGAGTGTAGAACCCCGTCCTTTATTCAAGTCGGTCATACCCGTCTATTCGAGTGACTTTATCAACCATAGATTCCATCGTTCTCTAACATTTTCATTAAAAATGACACCACTTTTTTAGATAATAATTACTCCGTACATGAAGTAATTTAATTGTATAGTATGATCTCCATTCCATCCCATTAAGGTTGTCCTAGTTTTTATTCACTTAATCAACACAAATCATTCTTAATATCTTATTTTATATATCAAATTTTTATCAAATTTAATTCTTTTTTTTTTTTTGTAAGTTTTTAATGTAATTTCTGAATATGTAATATTATTTTTCAAAATTTAAGTGTGGGCAGAGATCTATTCGCTTTATCGTCGATCAAGCATATTAAACCGAATTGTTTCCTTCTTAGTGGGACGGAGGGAGTATATGAGAAGTATTCTGGATGAAATGTAATACGGAGTACATTGTACGGAGTAGTAACTAGTAATTGGTGATATTTATAATGTTTTTGAAAATCAAATAACTAATTTATTCAAATGATAGTAACATGATAAGCGAATGACAGTAAGGAAATTGTTAAAGGTAAAAATAAAAAAAGAGCGAAAACATAGTAAAACCTTACATTCTTTACTTCATTGTGTGGACAACATTGTCAATCGCCCAAACTCCTATTGGTTGTAAATGAAGGCTAGAAGATGAGATCGCCGTCTAGGATTCCCCTAAGCCGGCAGCTCCCACTCGCACACTTGCATTGCCTTTGTTTAGAATTTGAGAACAGTTTTTTATTTGTGTTTACATGCATGTTATATTTTTAATGTAGAATGATTAAAAATGTAAGGAAAAAATGGCGGAAATAAGGCTTATAAGAACTCAAAAGACCAAATTAGGACCACTTTATAAACTGGCCAAAAAAGAGACTGATTTTTATGAAATGTCCTGATTTACCCCTACTATATTTTACGGAGTATCCAGTAAAACCCTGGAATTTCAGTTTCTCCTCCAAAATCCAAATCTGGATCCTCGCATCACTCCTCACGCAGCCAGCTTCCGCCGCCGCTCAGCTCGCCGTCTACGCCACTCTGCTCGCCGTCTTCTCCACTCAGATTCCTCTCACAGTTGCCGCCGCTAAGCTTCAAGTCGCTTCCGTGGCCTCAGCTTTCGCCGACGCCTCACTTTCCACCACCGCCGTCGCCTAGGGCTCCACCGCCACCATCGCCATCCCGAACGATCTCCACCGTCTCCATCTTGAGCAGTCATCGATGTGTCCAACCGAATCCGTCGTCATCCCAGCCATTGTCTACCCCTAGCTGGTGGCATTGACTCTGTCTAGATCCATCGTCGTTCCTAAAATAGGTCGGTGGTTGAAATATGTCGCCTTCTCTGACCTAGTTTGTCACCGGCGGTGAGGCTCAACAACAGAGGGTGAGGCTATGGAGGTCATGGAGAGTTGAGTCTGGTGGCGCAAGGGGAGGGTCTGGAGTGGACTAGTGTGGCAGGGTGAAGGTCTGAGGTGGACTGGTGTGGCAGGGTGAGGGTCTGGTGTGGACTTGTGTGGTAGGGTGAGGGTCTGGGGTGGACTGGGTTGACAGGGAAAGGGGCAGGGGCAGGGGCAGGGGCAGACTAGTGGGGGCAGGAGTAGGGTAGGGGTGGGTCTGGGATGGACTGCTGGGGCTAGGCGGATGCAAGGGAGGGGGCCGGTTGAGTCGGGGATGTGGAGGGTGGTGGTCGAAGGTGGTAGCGTCGGTAACTTGTTAGGTAATTTTTGGTAACTGGACATGTTGAGTCGGGTATTCTAACGTTTTGGTTAGGTAATTGTAACTATTTGAATGGGGTAATTGTAACTTACGAATTAGTTAAATAGTGGATCGGATAATTGTAATTGGTCGGATCTGGTAACTGTAATTGATGAATTGGTAATTGTAACTGATTTGATTAAGTAACTGTAACGATTTTTGGTCACTGGTGAATTTTGGATTTTTTGTCACTAATGATTTTTTGTCACTGACGAATTTTGGTCACTGGTGAATTTTGGATTTTTGGTCACTAATGATTTTTGGTCACTGGACGTTGGTAACTGGACGGACGAACGTTGGTCACTGGTCGAGGTTGATTACTTGATGACATTTTTGGTCACTATTAATTTTGGTCACTGACAGATTTTGAATTTTTGGTCACTAATAATTTTTTGTCACTGGAGGATTTTGGTCACTGACGGGTTTTTGGATTTTTTGTCACAAATGATTTTTGGTCACTGGGTGGATTGGTCATGGTCACTAGTCAGATTGGTCACTGGACGGGTTGACGTTGGTAACTAGCTAGGTAAAATTTTTGGTCACTAATGATTTTGGTCACTGACGGATTTTTGGATTTTTGGTCACAAATGATTTTTGGTCACTAGATGGATTGGTCATGGTCACTAGTCAGATTGGTCACTAGATGGGTTGACGTTGGTAACTAGGTAAAAATTTTGGTCACTAATGATTTTGGTCACTGACGGATTTTTGGAATTTTGGTCACTGGGTGGATTGGTCATGGTCACTAGTCGGATTGGTCACTGGACGGGTTGACGTTGATAACTAGGTAGAATTTTTTGTCACTAATGATTTTGGTCACTGACGGATTTTTGGATTTTTGGTCACAAATGATTTTTGGTCAGTGACGAATTTTGGTCACGATAATGGTTTTGGTCACTGTGGCGTTATTGTTGACTAATGGGTGAGATTCTATTAAAATAAGGGTATAATAGTCTCTTAACCCATTGTTAGTCTCATTTTTGGAAAATTGAAATAAAGGTCTCTTTTTTGTTCATAGCTCTTTTTTTAGTATTATTTTAGACATAACCCCAAATGTAAGTTGTTCTCTAAAATTGAAAATAGACCATTTAAATATGCCCAAATTCAAAGGATGAGTGGATAAAACAAGAATGAAGAAGCATTAATTTATTCTTTTGTCGTAGTAGTAACTATTCACATTGTTTTGGGATATTATTATTGTTGTTATTGTTGATGATGATGCTGTTACTATTATATATTATTATTATTATTATTATATTATTATTATTATTATTATTATTATTATTATTACTCCCTCCGTCTCTAAGTAAACTTCCAACTTTCCTTTTTCGTTCGTCTCAATTAAAATTTCAACTTTCCTCTTTTGGTAAAGAATTTGTGGTTCACAACATTTCTTACACATTTTTCTCTCCTCTACACAACTTTCCACCACACAATACTCACTGTCTTAAACTGTGTGCCTAACTCATTTGGAAGTTTTATTAGGGATGGTGGTAGTAGTACTACTAAGCGGAATGGTGTTTTTCCAAATGATTTCACGAAAATAGTACATAACGGCATATATATTCTCTCAATGACAATTACACCAATTGTTGTTACATACAAGTACAACCCAAAAAAGGGACACATACATCAAAATAGATACTCCGTACGATTTATAGCTAGCCACATTCTTCAAGTTGCATTGTCTTTCGATTGTTTTCCAGGGTCATTCTCAGCTTTGGGTTTTTTGGGCTTCACATAAGCAGATACGACCCCTAAAACAATAACACCAATCAGCAACACCAAGGCCAGAAGCAAAAGATGGAATGGATCATTTGCTGCACTCCTAACGGTAGCAACCAATCCGGCTTTGCAAGAATCACAAGTGTAGCAAAGTTGTGCTTGGGCATTGCTCCATTTCGTGCAATCTGCGTCTGCTCTCGGGTTTATTTCCGCTATCCAATTTGTTGCGTTCACAAATTGGAACTCACACGGTGTTGGCGGTTTGCAACATCCCGACTACAAATGTAGATTACACAAGTAATTAAAATACACATAAAATAGATGATAACACATCAAACCAGATGAGATCAGAAAATTTCATTCCATTTCAAAACATGTATATGCCAGAATTATATGTGTACTCTTTTGTGTAGTTTCATGTTATTACAGACTTCTTGGAGCAACCTCTATTTTGACCACGCATTCTAGGGAGGAATGGAGTTACATTAACCAAATTAAATTGGACCGGGGGGGGGGGGGGGGATTCTCATCGTAAGGGCATGTACAATAAATCGGCTACCTATCAATTCATAGCAATCATATCTATTTTCACGACGATATAATGGCATGATCTCATAATGATTCAAAAATAAAATTAAGAAAAACAAATTGAAAGCATGATCCTGACTGTTGACATATCACAATTCACTGGAAATAGAATGGTTCAATTGTAAGAGGAAAATGCTAAAAGTACAAACAAATTTACAAAAAAAACTTATAAACAAGTGATGTGGCTATTGTAATGACTTTTGATGTAAAAAATAATGTGATGTATAAATAATGTGATGCTGTCAAATAGATTTTTTGTAAGACTTTTTATAAGAATGTATGCATAACTCATTGTAAGAACATTAATGTACATCTATAATATGAACATTTATATTCAACATTTATAATTATTATAGGCTTCTAACTTTATCATTAGGAATATCCATTCATATTCGATATAAACTCTTAAGTAATCTATATATTTAAGTTTAGCAATCAACATGGTCGTTCCATTATACAGATTCTTCTTGCTATCAAGCCAAGAGTCACATGATTAACCAATAAATTTAACCGCAAATTTGATCGTTTCCTAATCATCACTAAAATTTGTCTTGTTTGACAACTTGATCAAATGAGTAAAAAGTTAACCAATATTTTTAATCATTACATTTGAGTGGAGTACATTCATTTTACATTTTTGTGAGAGTATTTTAATAAAACATTTCTTATGTTACTCGTACATTGTTAATAAAGTAAAAATGAAGGGGAGTTTGACTTTGCACTTATTGTCCGGGCAAATTAAAGTTTGACGTTTTTGGGTTTGGTACTGAACGTATTTGTACGTTGTATATAAGTAGGGTTTAAATACTTGAATTTGATTATCGTGACGTTAAAAGTATTATGAGGGCAGTTCATATAAGCTGACTTAACAGGATCCGCCTTCCGACCAAAGTCATCATTTGGGGTCTTTCTTCGTAGAATTTGTTAATAAATTTTTTTATCATGTTCTTCATCAGGTCTAATTTATGTATATCAAATTTCAGCTAAAAATTTAATATGAAAATCAGCCAAATGCCAAATTGACAAACACTGCGCTGTTTATATACGATAGCATATAACTAGGGCTGAGCACGGGTCGGGTTCGGGCGGGTCGGGTCTGCGTACCCTAAACCCGTTCGGGTTTTTCAAGTTAAATACTAGGCCCGACCCTTTGATATTTCAAATCGGGTTTTTCGGATATTTGTAAGTCGGATATTATCGGATATCGGATCGGGTTTCGGATATTTCGGTTATATTAAAAAAAATTATAATTGGATAATTAAAATGTTTGAATGCCACTTTGACAAAAATTCTACAAACTAGTGCACTAGACATTCAAATTACGCAAATAATTTAATACAAATTGCATAAATAATTACACAAATAATTGAACGCAAGTATTAATTTAACATATTCAAAGTACACACTACATAATTTAATATATTTCGAATATTTCGGTTATATTAAAACACATTATAATTGGATAATTAAAGTGTTGGAATGTCATTTTGACAAAAATTGTACACACTAGTGCACTACACATACAAATTACAAAAATATTTTAACACAAATTGCCTAAATAATTACACAACTAATTGAACACAAGTATTAATTTAACATATTCAAAGTACACACTAAAATATTTAATATATTTCGGATATTCGGGCGGGTCGGGTTGGGATTTTATAAACCCTACCCGCCACCCGATCTAGGCCCAATACTAATCGGATTTTCGGTTTCGGGTTTTTCGGGTCGGATATCCATTTTGGTTCGGATATTATCCGAAAAAAAATTCGGGTTTTATGGGTCGGTTCGGGTTTTGCTCAGCCCTACATATAACACACACTATTTTTAATAATTTTTGTAAGTACCTTCTCGATTGAGTTTTTAACTGAAATTTGTTGGTAATAAACTAGATTTGATGAAGAACGTTCTCTAAACATTTCATCAACAAATTCCATTGGGAATAGCCTCAATTGGCCTTGGCCAGACGGCGTGTCCTGTCAGTTCACCCTTATGGGATCGTTACTCGAAGTATTATTAAAGAAAATATGTTAGTTTGAGTGTATTTACTATGGATGAGGAAGCGGTCTAGCCCAGCTGGTCGCCGACTCACTCTCCCTTATGGGCGGTCTCGGGTTCGAAACTCCAGGCTCCCCCAACCCCCCTCCCCTCCCCCAGACGCCCCTGGAATAAAAAAAAAAAAAGAAAAGGAAAAGAAAGAGTGTATTTACTATGGCATTGACTGTGGCTAAACACATTGTGATTATGTGACTGTGTTATGGTAATGGTTGTGACATATTTGAGAAACCATTTATTTGTCTATGATGTTCTAGGAGCATTTGTAGTGTAAAAGCATCTCTAATGTAAATTTGTGATCGAACAGTGTATGCATAACATGAGAGAATATATATACAAAAAAAAATGATTAATAGAAAATAGTTCACATTCTTTTCATATGTAATAAATATTATTCACTTAATTTGTGAGCGGGGGTCTATGTAATGTAACATTATGTTGGACACTGTTTATTTGCCTATAAAATGCGATCCATTTACTTGAGTAAAAGACGGGTGAACTTTTTCAAATGCGCTTCTTTGAATAATTTGGTCTTTAGGGATATCATTAGAAGAAGAGGTAACCATGTTTTTGAAATGTCATTATTTAGTTATTTACTTAAAGAGGACACATGTTACTAGTTATTTACATTGTTATTGGTTAGTAATTATGTGAAGAGGCAAGTAGGTAACCATGTTTTTAATTGTGTCCTCTTTTCAAAACGAAAAACAACAAAAATATCACACGAACACTCTAGATTAAACATTTTTAATTCAAACGTTCAATGCGATTAGTGCCCTCCATCACTCTATGGCTACATTCAAGGTATCTTTACCACTCATTAAAAAATGTTCCTTACAATTTTTTAAATGAAAAAAAGACTAATCATTCATCTCAAATCTCTATATGTTACTCGTAATACATATAAGATCAAATCATGTCAAGGAAAATAAATTAGAATAAAAGAGATTTAGTGAGCATTCATTAAACTAAAACTAAAACCAAATGAGATTATATTAGACTTTATAATTACAAAATACAAACAAATTAAACATCTATCACAAGATATACTCAAATTAATTAATTTGAATTGAATTAGATTAGATTAGTTCAACATATCAAACGAGACAGGCATAGGAAAACTTGTAAATTTTCTTCTTTAAAATATCAATTATTTAAATTTCATGATTTAAAAATAATAACGACTTACGAGTACATACATCTTATATGACTTTTAATGTGTGTGACATCTTATATACGTAGCAAGTTATTATAACTTTATATATATAGAGCCCGTTTTGTGACTGTATTTTTCGGTTTATTGGCCAATTTTTTTTAACCAAACACGTAACTTTTGATTTAACGCGCTGAATTGTGTAATAATAACAAAAAGTAAGGTTAAAGTTACTTTTATGGCTGTATTGGCTTAAGTTACTGTAGATGATCACTTTAGTTATTTTCATATAATTTTTTATTTACTTTATTAATAAATTATATTTCAAATATAATTTATTCATAAATCAGCAGAATCAGCCAATACAGGTTATACAGTCACTTCAGCCAGATTTTCATAAATTTCAGAAGAATTAGCCGATTCAACCAATTTTATTGTTACCAAACAGGATCATAGTAACTTTATTTAATAGATCTCTTTTTTACCTACAAGTTTTATTTCAATATTTCAAAAGGTTAATCCCCAACTTCGAGGGTCTCCCCGGCCCGACAAAGCATTTGGGGATGTAAGTTACAGTGGCCCAATCAGTCCAACGGTAATAGACCTTGTACCCGTGCGCACCAAAGATTTAACTCAACGCACATAAGTGTTAACCTCCACACAACCACAATAGATTTCGATCTTTGATCAATATTTCAACTTTCTTACCGCTCAACTAAATGAGGTACCCGTGCCGACGCCCGGCGGTGAAGGTTTTATTTAAACATACAAAAAGGGTAGTTAAAGAAACAAGCTCAGGACATATCAAACTAAAAGAAAAAACCTGAAAGGGGGTGAGAGTGGCATTGAAGAAATCTTGAGCCATGGGGTATTTCTGACTCAAAACAGCACACTTATCAGAAGAGCCAAGACATCCTGCGACACTATCCCACCCATCAGTAACCCGCCGGAGAAGCCAGCCGGGGATGCCGCCGCCGTCGACATTGAGATGGTATTCAGAGTACGTCCTGCTCGTCGCCACCGCGCCGGAATCTTGAATGGCGCTGAGCTTGTACATGAAATAAACCAAGTAGGCCACCCATACGATGAGAAGAATCATGGATACCCAGTAAGCTAAGAGAAGCCATTTGATCATCCCCTTCTTATAACAACAAAACAGAACGCATCCAATCACGCTTGCTGCTAATATGAGAGCTCCAAGGAAGAAGAATTGTGAAGATTGGGAAATATGGAAACATGGAAACTGGTCTATTTTGCTTTCAAGCCTCATCCGGGCTAGGAAGATGATGATGAATGCAGAGATTATCCCCACTAATAAGATTATAATTCCTGTCACTTTGTGTGTTATTCCTGCCATTTCTTCAGGCTGGCCTTCTGATCTATGTTGTCAATGGTATAATGAATAAGTCTATCTATAATAACAAAGTTTTTTTTTATAGTTCTTTAATAATAACAAAGTTGATCACCTCAATTAAGCAACCACCCTTAGCTAATTGTATTGGTATTCCTTTTTTTAATCTGATTCTTGCTTTACCTCTGTTTTTGCTCTTACTTACTTGACCCGGTTTCACTTGGCTAGGCACTAGGTCCACTCTACGGTCCTTTTGATAGCCTAATGGTTTTTGGTAGGGGTGAACAAAAAAATCGAAAAACCGAAACCGACCGCCAAACCGACCGAAACCGACCGATCAAAACCGAAACCGACCGAAAGTGACTAATTCATCGGTTATTCGGTTTACGGTTCATAATTTTGACTTAAAAAACCGGTCAAATGAAAATAAACCGGCAAAAATGGCTAAAATCGACAGAAAACAATACAAATTGACCAAAATTGACTCAATTTTTGCGGTCCGATTCTCACTAAAACCGCCCGACTAAAAACCGAAACCGATCAAAACCGACCGACTAAAAACCGAAACCGACTAAAACCGAACCGATAAAACCGAAACCGCCAAAACCGAACCGACGAACACCCCTAGTTTTTGGAAATTAGGCTATCTTTCAAAAAACCGGTGGGCGTAGCTCAACTGGTAGCGAGGAAGTGCCACAAGGGTTAGGTCTCTCGGGTTCGAATCCCGACAACTGCGATGAGAGGTTACTATGCTGAAAAATGCATAGGGCCTTTGCAAGTACCGGGGACAGAGCCCCACTCTCTATCTGTCAGATTGTGATTATAGTCCAATTTACATCCTCCCATCGTGTCGTCCGGTCGGTGTTAGGGGGCCCTCGGGGATGGGGTGTCATCCTTTTTTTTTTCAAAATGCCCGCCTCAAGCGCCCCAACATCCCGATTCAACAAAATGGCGGAGAGGTAATTCAGTATATGATTTCAAATAGTTTGTAAGTGATGTCAAAGATTGAACTTTTGAGACTTCAACCTAAGAAACGCACTCAACAACTTTGATCTACTAGTGTGGGTAGAATTAGGCTAATGTGGCTTGAAAGTAATTGATCATGTTTCTATTAGCTCTTTAATAAGTTCAGATTGATATCATTTATCTTTTTAACAAATATCAATAACATAATCTTTTTTATTAAAAACTTTGATGACTAAAAGTGTGTAAAAAACATGAAAGTGCCTTATGAAATAGGATTTTGTTTTGGAAGTGAGTTTTTTGGGCATTCTAGCCTCAATGTGCAAGTCTAACTATTTCGAATGTACTGTTTCTTACTTTAGGCAAATAAATAGAATTAATGATATTGATTAATTATATGCACTGTACCTACAATTTTACTCCGTATTAAATTAGTCTGTATATTGATACCTTTGTTTTATACTCACTATAGGTAAAAATGCTACGTAGTACTCCGTATAAAAGAAGGGTTACACCATAGATTCTCCAGATACTTTACGCACAAGTACATATATAATGATTAATTAAACATTAAAAAACATCTCTAATCACTTTTAGAAAATAAATACTAGTACCTAATAAGTATGATGAGTAATGAGTACCGAGTACACAATATATGAAATTAATGTGACAATGTTACTTACATTTACAAGGCATTTCTTTCTATCTTTAAGCATAAAAGAGCGGGCACAAAAAGTTCCTTAATTAGGGGTAAGACATATCAAAAAATTTCTCAAATAAGAGTAAAACTTTTTCTTCTCCTAGTAGAACTCAAGCACCCCTATTTTAGGAAGAAAAATTATTTTTCTCTTTGTGTACATTAGTATATCCCTCTTTCAGTCATCCCCTCTAATCCCCCATTCTCCTTCGGTCCTCCCCTTTCATGTTATGAAAGAGAGTACGGAGTATATGATTGTAACATGCTAGTGTTTCTAAAATTTTCTCCTTCCGCCTTTTAGTATGCCAGTATACTAGCGACACATATTTTTCTTTATATGCATTTCGAGTCAATATCGATCTCAACTAAAATGAAAATCAAAATGATATTCCTTTTATCGATTAAGATCACATTATTGTTTGATAATGACAATTTTACTTAAGAATGACGATATAGTTGTATGGTGACAATATGGCTTCATGATGAAAGTAAAATAATGGCATAGTGATGACATTACTCGTCTGAATTCACCGACGTTTGCCGGAATCTGACGGCGGTAATCACCGATGGCTAGGTGCAGTGAGGCGGTCCTTGTATTTTTCGATCAGTCAATAAGGGTGGTTGTGGACTGGTAATTTGTTTTGTCCAATTGACTATTATAAAACTTTAATTGCATTAGTAAGACTATTTTGATCCATCATATCCATACATAATTTACTCCCGTTTTGATATTTATGAGATAGATAGAAATCGTTGGAGAAAATTAATTACTCCGTATATTTAAGTCCATAAATTTATCTTTCTCTTTGACAGTATATAATAGTCTTCCTTTTGAAATCGGAAAGGAATGTGATATTTTTAATTCCCACTCCTACCACTCTAGAGAATATCTTTTGTATAAAATTGTATTTTATATTTCATGATGCACATGAGAAAAATAACTTTTGTAATTATTCTTAGCGGAATGTAATACTTTAATTAATAAATCAATCACATATAAATATTACGGAGTACCGAATAGAATTGCAACAACAATTAAATTAGTGCAAAACCAAACGTCGTATTACTTGCACATTTACCAGATACTACGTATGAAATAATACAAATGACAATCCATTTATATGTGCAAATTCAGATCATCAATCATCGCTGTTTTAGATTATTCAGATTTGTGAACTATTGCAATCGATAACCATTAAGAGATCGAGATAGTAATTACAAAAAAAAACAGAGATCGAGAAATTTTCTTCAATATTACTAAATTATTACATTTTTTGTGGATTAAAAAATTGACTAAGTAAATTCTAATTTTTTTTGTGGACTAAAAAAGTGACTAAATAAATTTTAAATGTGGAAAACATAAATGCAACATTACTAAAACTACCCATATACCTAGTTCTATCTCGGCCATTGGTACCACCTCGTCCAATGACATTAACACCTCTGCAGCCCGACCAACCAGTGGCAGATCTCTCATTTAAACTTTGGGTGTTCATTTGTTCTAAAATTAAAATTTGAAAAGACAATAACTAATTTAAACTAAAATTATACATGTATACTAACACTTTTTTCAAAAATGTAGGTGTTCATGTGAACACTTCTGCACTAAAGTAGCTCCGCCACTGCGACCAATGATTCGCCACCCACCGATCAATGGCAACACCCACGCAATGAACTGTGCCGGTGATACAACTGCCACATGCCAGTGGCACCGCCGCCATCCAATGACACGCCCATTAGTGATATCTCTATCATCGGATGGTGTCATTATCGCATGTAATTTTGTTCATTTTCAAATACAATTAGGTGACTAAGAAATGCATAACTGATATCTTAAGTATTGATATTGATACATTTTGGTACAACTCTTAATGAAGCAAATGGATATCACAAAGACTTTTAAATGTTTATCATGTGGTAGTTCCATCTAGAAGATCATGTGTGTTCGCATGAATTGTTCCCCCATTGAAGACCTGTAATCTTGTTGTTCACTTCAACTTCACTGGTGTTTATTTCTGGTAGATTCACGGAAATGTTTATGATGGACGTAAATATGTTTTGTAATGACAAAACATTAGTGCATGCCTGCGTGGCCCACATCAAAATACCAAAGAAAAAATGATGGTGAATACCTGGGTTGAATTAGTTAATAGGTTGAGGTCATTCAGCTTGGTATGGTCCAAATGCCTTGAGCAAGTTGAGTGATCTCAACTCAATTATATGTATGAAGAATTCAACATGGACCCTTCGCTCTATCCATTCTATGTTATGAAGATGACCCCAACCATGATCGATGACAACGGGTTAACAATTTTATCATGTCATGGATCTTTTACTCTATCCATACCACCCCCGCTCTCCTAGCCACACCAGCACCCAAACCGGTAAGACCCATATAGCTCATACAAATGTCATCTCACGCAACCACTCTTGCCTGTTGGAAATAAATTGATAAAGAAAATCTACACTTGATGAATTATACCAAGTGTTGATGTGAAAATAGAAGCTTCAAACAAATTCTCTGGGAATAACTAATGTGAGAAGGAAGAGTTTAACAAATGCAATCTATGTTAATTAATGAAGAGTAAAGGCATATATATATAGCCTTATTACAATAATTCCTACATGGGAAGTGGGATTGTGGGAAGTGGGGACATGCAAACATGCTAAGTAACCACCCCACTAAAACAAATGCTTAACTTCACACTAATGTCACTAATTTAATTAATAAATTAATTAAAATATAAACCAAACTTAAATAAAACTCCATCCATGCATGCATATGTGAGACCCATGACCGATTAAATCCGCCTTAACTCCAAACTCCAATCACTCTCGTTGTACTCATTGAGTCATTGTGGTATTCCTGATCACACGCAACAAGGCAACAAGTTGCATGGATATGTTGCTCTCATTCATGAAATTGAACTACCAAACTTAATTACATTATCTAATGTATTATGTGTTCCCTCCTTTCACTACGCACAATTAAGATTTTGTTACATGATTGTCCTAATTACGTAGTGTTGCTATTTACCCTAATTATTGTATTTTTTAGGACCAATTGCAAAGGAGGTGATTGGTCGGGGTAATAGAAAACATGCACTATATTTTCTAAATGCCTCCACGTACCCACATCGACCACACTTTCGGACGCATCTCTCGCCACTTGACACTCCCGACTAGGTCATTCTTCTTCTGCATGTCTTTAAATTGTTTTCTATCATTCTTGGTTGTTCAAATAAATTACATATGATATGTCGTGGTCATTTATCAAAATAAACTAGGCCATCCTTCCTCCCGACTAGACCATTTGTGTGATATATGTCATTTATCTAGATAGACTAGATTGCATTTTCCCATTCGTAGCTGTTTTACTACAAATTTTTTTTTATTTAATTCATATCGATGTTTGGGGTAAATACAAAAGTCCCACAAATAATGGTCATTATTACCTTTTAATCATTGTTGATGATTTTTCTCGCATTACGTGGACATATTTAATGAAATTTAAAACTGATTTTTCCCTTGATTGTTCATTTTTTGGCTTATATAAAAAAACAAATTTAACACATGTGTCAAAACCACGCGATCTGATAATGGCACGTAATTTACCAATCATATTTATATTATCTAATGTATCACATTACATTAAATATGATTGGTATACTTTGCCAAACAAGTTCTCATATTTTGAATAATAAAACGTCTTTTGAAATATTACATCAACAACCTTCTAGCTTTAATATTATATGCACTTTTGATTGTTTATATTTTGCCTCCACCAGTTGCCAACGTCCCCATAATTAGATTGTTACAAGTTTTTGTTTCTCATTTGTTTTGTAGATCGTTATAAGTTAAACACACATTTTTAAAACATTCATGTTTTTCATTTTAGTTGCATTTTATTTTATCACATTACACTAATATAAATTATTTATTTTAAAGACTCTTACATGTTATTCATACGTATCTATATCTCTTATATCGGCATTTACACAAAAATATAAAATGAGTTACACCAAGCAATTTTATATCAAAGTTGCACAAAATTTGCGCAAAGTTGCATCATTCCTATTGCACGGGAGTACCGTGCGCACGGAATGCCAATCCCACATAACATGGAAAAGCATGCTTAAAGTTTCCAAGTATAAAAAGGAGTCAAATAAGAAAGGTTTTCAAAAAGGAATATGTATCAATAAAAGAAGAATGTGTATTTTTTGGGCTTTTTACTTTATTTTAGGACTATTATTTGTTTTTGTTTTTTAATGAGGTAGCTTGGTAAGTATATAATGGTTCGGTATGAGTTTCTTTACCTTGTTTAGAGAGTGTTTGTGATTGTTTCTATTTTAAAAAAAAATGCTTTTAAAAAATAATTTTAAAGAAAATGCTTAATGGTAAAAGTTATTAGTTTAAAAAAGGGAAAATGGAAACTAATAATCCAACCTTTTAGCGGTCTTCTTACAATAGTCCCACCTTTTGATTATTTATGAATAATCCAACCTTTGCACCTCATCTTCATTCACTGGTCCCTGACCGGTTGATGACCTACCATTCCAAGTTATTTTCTTTTCTTTGCAAACCATTATACCATAAATCTTACCTCTTACAAAGATAATATTTTGCAATGATAAGAAAATAACTTGGAATAGCAGGTCATCAACCGGTCAGGGACCAGTGAATGAAGATGAGGTGCAAAGGTTGGATTATTCATGAATAATCAAAAGGTGAGACTATTGTAAGAAGACCGCTAAAAGGTTGGATTATTAGTTTCCATTTTCCCTTTAAAAAAGTGTTAGAAAAAGTGAAAATTGGTGATACAACAACAACATTACCCTAGTGCCACAAATGCTCCCGCCAATGATGGGGGAAGGGGGGGTAGTAGGGGTGGATTCGGTTCGGGCCTTGAACCGGCCGGGCCTCGGTTCAAGGTTTGAGAGGCCCGGAACCGGCCCGGGTAACCCCGGGTCCGGTTCGGGCCGGGCCACCCGCCCGGTTCACGGGCCGGGCCCGGTTCGGGCCGGGCCTTTTTTCTTTTAAATTATATATTATATTATTATAATAATTGTTATTAAAAACAAAATTCAAGTGCAATTATTTGAAATAGGAAGTACATTTGAGAGTTGAGAAAAAAATAACAACATGAAATAAATTTTCGAATAAATATCAATTGGGATTTCCGCCACCGTTGGTTGTTGTTTTGCCTTTGTCACATGACTTCATATGTTTTATTGGCATCCCGACTCCGTGTGAACGCCCCAAGCAACACTCTTTCTTGCACCACTTGCAAGTTGCCCACCACAGTCCGGTCTTCGGGTCCTTCCACTTATCAAAATTGTTTTGCATAACAGAAGAATTACTTTCCATCTTTAAAATGGTAGATGTATAAGTAGAAATGTAGGATAATAAGAGAAGATGAAGATGGAGAAGAGTTGGAGAAGAGGTGTAGAAAAATGGTAGAAAATAGATGTATTTATAGATTTTTTTGAACCCCACCCCCACACCACCACCCCCGGGACCCCCCTGCCCCCCACCCTAAGCCCCAACGGCTATATAGCCGTTTGGGAGCAATCTCCCACTTCAAAATGTTTATAATTTTTTTTTTGAAAATTATACATATTGTGTATAAAATTTACTTAGAAAAGTGATATGATTTAGAAAATTATACATATTGTGTAAGGAAAATGTTTTTAATTTTTTAATTAAGTAAAACTATTTTTACTTAGAAAAGTGATTTGATTTATAATTTACAATGTTACAAAATAGGTGTATAAGTTGTAACTTGTAAGTTTGTAACAAATTAATTAATTTACATATTAATATTACATATTTTAATTTAAAAACAACCTTTAGATTTTACAAAAATAATTTCAAGTTGTAAGTTATAAGTTTGTAACCAATTAATTAATTTGAGAAGTGCTACATATGAAGTACAAGTTTACAAATGAATTTTATTGAATTCAATTATTGAATTGATGTACACAGTAATATAAAATAATTCAAGTATATTTATTTCAAATAAGAAGTACAATTGAGAATTAGGATGCATTTAAAATATGTAATACATTTTGAAATAAAAAATCAATCGGAATCTCCGCCTTCGGTGGTTGTTTCCTCCATAAAGTGGCGGGTGGGAGCGATGGTCATTTCTTGAGTTCTTCGTTTGGCCTTCAACCAATCATGGAAGCAAACTAGCGTCTCAAGAGAGCTCGGGCTCAACCTCGTTCTATAATCGGTTAGGACGTTGCCGGCCGCACTAAATTCTTGTTCCACGGCAACTGTTGATATCGGCATTGCTAGCACTTGCTTAGCCATCTTTGATAAAACCGGGAACGTTCTTTCATTGTCCTTCCACCACTTAAGAACGTCAAAATCATCCCCAACTTCATAATCAACATTCAATGTTAGGTCTCGGGTTATGAAAATCAAGGACCGGAACAAAGCCCACTATATTCGGTCCGAGTCGGGTTTTTTGTAGCCTGGGTTCGGGTTGGGCCGGTTAAAGCCCGGATGTGAAATCGTCTCATTTTCAATTTATATTTTAAAACCTTTTTTTAAATAAAATTAATCAAAAGTACAAACCGCAAATAATAACACAAATAATAGTCTCCAAAATCACCAAGAATTCAAATCTAAAGAAGACAATTATCATAATATTTGGTTTAAGATGCATATAAATAAATAATATAGTTTTTCTAAAAATGTTACTCCGTAAAACATTTTTTTAAAGGTTTTACAAACACTTCTTTAGTTTTTTTTCTCACACTTCTTTACTACTTTTGCCATATTTTGATCATTTGATGGAAATATAATGAGAACGACTGAACGAGTAATAAATTCTAACGCACATAGATTTAGCGCAGACATTAATGAACTATATTATATCATCATCCAGTGGTCGAGATTTAGCTCCCTATGTATCATTTGATCAAACACCAAATGGTACCACCATGGCAACATGGTTGACTTCATATGGTTTTCAGCCTCCCCTTCTTCCCACAGCACCCAGGTTTAATCCCAGCTAACTATATCCGATCCCTGCACTAACGGGCGTATTCTAATTTGATACTAGTACATATTTATCCTTCTATATGTTCAAGCAATTAGACTAGGAGTTTATGGGATGCAGCCAGACATGTAGCCTCACACCACTAGGGAAGTAGTCATCCCAGAAGTTGCAAAGGAAGATACGCTACAGCTTCAAAGATTGAGAGTACATTTACAGAGGGAAATAGCTTATCAGCGTAGCAACTTTGAGGAAAATATGGTGGGTCTGGTCATGAACTAAACTGACGCCAAGATCCAGAACATTACATGAGATGAAATGGCAATAAGAAACCAGGTTATAAATGCCAAGACAGCTGCAAGCTCAAATTTGACGCACGGAAGATGAGATGGATCATGGCAGAACTTCAAATCTTTTGAGTATAAAACTGCTATCCCAGCAGAGGAGCAAGCTGCCGCAAGTGATAATGTTGATGTCACCTGCAACCGAATCAATCCAGTCAATACGGGGATTACTCAGCAATCATTGTTCTAAGTTGATGGGAAACAGATGGTACATGCATCCCATGTCAAAACCCAAAAAGTTAGGAGTTGATATGGTGCATCAGAATGTAGATCTAAGAGCTCAACACAAAAACAAAATGCAAAAACAAATGTTGCAAATTTGCAAAATTGTAGATAAGTGCAACTTTTGCCACCAGTCCAAGTGAAAGTGCCTTTTTGGTGTAAAAACTACAGCCGCGCATTACTAAAGGTTCATAATTTCAAATGCACATTTTTCACATCCTTTTCATTTGAACCACTCATTACACACATAGATACACACACATGTATATGTCCAGCTATCCAATAAGAGCATTGGACAGAAGAGCATTTTCCCCAAGTTTCATAAATTAACTAAATCATCAAAGACTATTTTTCATGTTTAGCCTTCCATATTTCCAACAAACATATAATTCATCAAAGCGCCCATTAATCATTTCAAAAGTGACTGCCACTTGAAAATAGGATGTTTTATTGTCATTTAGAATTAGCATTCCACGCATAAAAATGTGATAATCCAACCGCCACAGGCCCACAAGCTTGTTTTTTATTTTCTCATATTTGTTTAGTCAGCTGTTCAGGAATATATTTGAAGTGAAGTGGACATCTGGTAAAGCCTAGAACCAAAGGGTACGTACCCAATCCCCCACAACAAACAGGCTGACCAAGACTGGACTACAGATATCTCTTTTTATCTTCAAAGCATAGATGTCAAGACATGCAAGCCCAAAACTCCAGAGCATTTGAAGTCCCATCGATGCAATTAAATAGCTGAAACAAATAGACAATTTCATGTAATTTACCTTGAGCAAAAATGAAAGGCAGAGAGAGAGCTGAATCTATTGAATATGTGAAATGACCCTAAATCCACAGACATAGTTTTGTTCCTTCATGTTTCACCTTAGGAAGTGCCCTTTAACACTCGAAAGGTATAGTGGATTTATCCTTTATGGACAATTGGACACATTATTATAGTTCCAGGAATTTGCAGTGGAGAGATGGGGAGATATTTAATTTTTTAATCATTTCTAGGGCTGACATTTCAAACCGAAAAACCGAAAACCGAACAGAAAATAACCGAACCGCTTTGAAAAAAAATGAACCAAACCGAACTGAACGAAATTGGGACCCAAAAATTGGGACCCGAAAAAAATTGGTTCGGGTTCGGTTTTTGCACACACAAAACCGGTTTGGACCAAACCGACAATTTTATATTAATAATGATTACTATTACTATTATTAATAATATTAATCCTCTCAAAAAAAATATTAAAGACATTAAATAACGATATAATAAAAGATCGAGCATTACATAGACACACTAGACGCGCTGCGGAGATGGTAATCTAGTAGCCTACTCAATCCCGACGCCAGGGGTTCGAATCCCGTTGTGGTTTGGTTTTTTTCCTCCAGATTTCTTTTTTCCCTATACAACTTTGTCCCACACCGGAAAAGGTGTGATTTCCTACTCCTAAATGCTTCTATATAAAGCAGACCTCCTATCATTAGTTGAAGCAGCCGAACCTTAGTGGGCTAAAATGCCTACGAGGCTGCCATTGGGTATATGAGCTCAAAAATGGGCAAGTTTCTAACGGGCTCTAATAGTTTAAAATTATTTATTCCTCTTGAGTCGGTTTTTTTTGTTTCCAAAAAAACAAACCGAAAAATCGGGCACCGAAAATTTGGACCCGTTTTGAGATTGGGTCGGTTTCAGTTATGGTAAATTGGATAACCGATAAATCGGTTCGGGGGATTGGTTTGGGACCCAAACCGAACCCAGCCCTAATCATTTCTACATTTATAAGGTGGGAATAAAATGTAGTTCAAAACATATATACAAATAAGTGGTTTTATCACATGGCTATTTCTAGTCAAAAACTAACAGATGTCAATACTAAGTCATTAACAAATAAAAATCAGTCCTTCCCACAATCCCACCCCTTCCCACAGAAATGCCCATACCAAACAACCCCTGAACTACAAACATTAGGTGAGGGTTTGCACTGTTTGTAGTGAACACAAATTCAAATTGAGGAACATGAACCTGGCAATGCCAGAGTGGGTTCAGTCTTAAGACTTCAAGACCTCAAGTCTACCTTGCCAGAGAAGAGAGATCCTTGACTAATCAATTGAGTTGGTTAACCTTGTGAAATTCGTAAAAGGTATTAGTGTATTACAGTTAAAATGAATAATGAATGCAGGTGGCATATAAAGAGTATGAGACTGTTCAACAACTAAGCATGCTCTGTATAGTCTTGCTAATTGACCATAACATAAGAATGATGGAGATGCCATAAAGAATCATTCATATACCGATGCAAATGCTATTGGGTGAATCTGTCCTACAGAATGACAAAGCAGGACAAAGTATATAGTTCTGAAACTTAAATATTGTAAGCAAATAAATAACAGGTTATCCAGCATCAGCTCTAATGAAGTATACAATAGGATTACATCTCAATAATGCCACAGCCACATTTTCTCTTGGTAGTTAGATTGCCTTCAGACCAGTATATAACTGCACATCTAGGGCTCTGGGAAATTCACTGGTATAAGAATGCTCAGTGATGTAAATAAACATGATAAATACAAAACAGAGTTTTTAAAAAATAACTCTGTTTTCCAAACTTGCTGATAAATATCTCCTTTCTAATGAGCCAAACACGAGCACCTGCTTCCAGCTTACACAGTTTTAAAGAGACATCAGCCCTATTTGTAATTTGAGACATGTAATCCGTAATCTGCTTGGTAAGGCTTTAAAGTTTTAAGTGTTCCTTTAAGGTTTTTGGTTCTGATCTTTCCCTCAAATAGCTTTACCTCCCTCCATTCTGGTAAAATCGAAGCAATAAGTTTTAGAGTGCCTCATGTAAGTCTACTGTAAAGTGGTTCTCATCAGGTCTACTCTTACAACCATCCAACCTACTTTTGTGCGTAAGAAATGAACAATCTGACACTTCTAAATTACGGGGGGGGGGGGGGGGGGGGGTGATAGGAACCCATTAGCATAATAATAACTAATAATAATAATAGTATAATAAATAATTGTGATAGTGTATTAAAGGGTCCTGGGCTAGGTACTACACTACTAGTTAGTATTGGACTGATCCATAAGTAAGTATAAATAGAAGGGAGGGAGAAATAAGAAGGCAGGCAATTATTCATTTGGACTGGGCGTGGCTAGGAGACTGGGCATCTCGATTTGTCTGTAGCTCTGTACACCTTTCCCGATATTTCATCTCTGAGAATAAAGCTTTACGATCTGTTCTTATTCAATTCCTACTGATTTCTATATTGTTCTGAGTATCGATTACCAGTGTCCTATCAGGGGGTCTTCTCGTTACTGAAAGAAGAAGTCTATTACTGGATGTAAATGGGAACTTATCTTATTCCAAATATTTTTAGACTTCTTATACTCCCTCCGTCCCAAATTGTAAGATACTTTACGGTTTACGATGTTTGAATGACGATAAAGCAAATTGATCCCTGTCAACACTCAAATTAGTTTTAGAAAATAAAATTTACATATTCAGAAACTACATTAAACCCGCTACAAAGCCTGCAAAAAATAATTCAAATTTCATAAACTTTTGATATATAAAGTAAAAGATTGAGAGTGATTTATGTTGACCAAGTGAATAGTAAATGTATCTTACCATTTGGGACTGAGGGAGTAACTAAAGATGAGTCTATTGGTCCTGCTACGTGATGAGAGATATCTTTCTTCATGAGTACTCAGCTAATTGTTCCTCAGACTCTATTAAACAAGTTTATTGTCCTTCTATGGACTCGCAAATTCTCATCCATGGTTTCAGTCTTATCAAGAGTGAGATGAGAAAAGGCTTGGTTTTGTTTTTGCTTTCTATCTTACTGAGGACCAAACTACAAATGGAAAGTAGTCTATAGTTAACAACAAATGTTATAAGTAAGAAATAACTGACTGAGGTTCATTCCATCTGTTCGAAATAGATATTATTACATTAACACTTTTTAATTCAATCAACCCAAGGTGTCTCAAGGCTGAAGTTCATGGTTCATGGAAATTTGAATATTATTCAAAGAAGATAGCTTACAGGACTCAATGATCCTCATCCATCTGGTGCTTCGGAATTTCGGATCATCTTATCTCCTGGCCTTACAGAAAGATTTTTAAACTCTTGTCTAAAATGTGACATTTCCTCTAAAGAATTGCCTCATAATGTAAATATGTCTTATACTAATGAAATGCAAAGCATAGTCTTTATGGCAAAAAGATTCCAAATACATTCAGGATATTGCTCTGTTTGAAACAACCTCTGCAGTTGTAGCACTTCCCCATTTAAACACATCTTAATGACCCCAAGTCACGTACCCAATACCATGTTCTATTTGTTTATTTTGTTCATAATGCATCGAAAATGAATATTGGCTCTCTTGTAATGCAGTAACTGTCACCATGTTCAAACGGCTTGCCAGCATGCTTGTCTTTTGCTATAAAAATAGAGCATATCAACCATTTATAGCCTTACTTGACTCCATGCATACTACAAGATATGAGTCTAACCACTTTGCTAACTTGTTTCCAAGAAAATATTACAATGCTACATGCCCCAAATAGTTTTCCCACATTATTTGACTTCATCAGTTCATCTAATTATATACTACGTATAAGAAAACAGATAGGACAAAACCAGATGGAATGGCGTCCGTGTTACCGTGGCCGGAGCCAATGCCTCCATGGGAGGGGGCTCTGCCCCTTGAATACCCTGCTCCTAGCCCTACCTTTAGTTTTAAACTTTTAGTAGGACTTTGTACAAACACAAATGTATAAAAAAGTATTTGTTGATCACAGTTCCTAAATGTACAGATACAAACACTTTTCCTATCCACAAAATGAATGTTGACTTCTAATGTTTACATGTTAAAGTAACGGTGAGAAAGATTTTATTCATTATTTCCCCTCTCTATCCCTTTTCTGAAACCTTCAATTTAAGCAGGTGCTTAGGGAGGTCTTTTACAATCATCAGCATACTGTTGAATATTCTAAACATTTGGAATTCTATGTTACAACCAGTATCTAATAAACGGGGCTTTTTGTCTGTGTCAGTCTATGTTAAGTTGCCCAATTTTAAAAAACAACATTAGCATTATTTGCTCACTCTAATCATTATTAATTAAATGCTCTGACACCTCTCCATTTTGCATTTCAATCTTAGTCCTAATTATCGAGTCCTCGCTCTGCCTCAGCTTGTTACTGTGATCTCAAGGAACAATTATTCTGTCCTTTTCAGTTCCATGCCATACCATCTTCAGTGAAGATAAGGAGAATCCATACATTTGCATTCACTGAGGACCAATTTGTTAGACCAAGACTTCATACATTAGCACTTACACTCAATAAGATGAGCCCACCATTGTCCTTTGAGAATTAAGGACGACGTTGTTCTGTTTGGAGGAAATACAGTCCACAGGCAATATATGACCACCCTTGATGAATGATGATTATATACATTCATTATCTCTAATCTCTATCATGGCTTGGCCAATGAAATTAATAAGAGAGGGGAAAGAAGAATATGTGAATGTAGTTATCTGTTTGGGAGAGGATACAGTGGAGAGAGAATAGGGAGTGTAAGTAGCAGGAAGAACAGAATGTGTCTATGGTCGATGATGCAATTAGTGAGTAGCAGTAGGAGGGATACAACAAAACTTTACTAAAATAGTTTTTCATCTCATAACGCTATCTTACACCTCAAACCAGAATGTATGCAATCAATAGAAATGAGGTGAAAGAATTATACTTTACACTTACATCCTTTCTACACCCTTTTATTTTTCTTTGGTCTCTACCCTTCCCTCCCCCTCTATTACATACTCCTCCTAGTAACAAGAAAGTCAAACTTTTGCAGGTTTCAACAAGACCGGAAGAAAAAAAACTGCTGGAATAAGTCACTCTCTTACCAACTCATCGAACAAATCAACTCATTCTTAGAAGGATGGTCCATTGGAGTGATAAACCAAGGATAGAAAAAATTATAACTTTTGATATCACTTAATCTTGTGGGAGCTGCTCTGCAATCTTAAGCATCAATCTATGTATAGACAAGTGTAACCCATACTGGGCTGCTTCACTTTGGAATGAAAAGAAGAGGGCGACACAGATTTTGCTCACAGAAAAGGGATTTTTAAACAGTAGAAAAGAAACGCATACCAGAAAGCAGTGAAGTTAGAAAACCCATAAGCGGAAGCCATGACCCCAATAGAGCCAGCTGCGAACAAGCATTGTCCGATCCTCAACAGCAGTCCACTCACACTTCCCGGACTCCCTACAAACACCTTCATCCCTTTTCTTAGGGACAAATACAGCAAAAGTAATAACTCCCTTCCCAAAGATAATGGGGGGGGGCTTCTCTTCTAGAAATTAAACGGGCATTTTTAGAGCCCTAGAGGATGATTATATCCACCACCATGATAATCACCCCCGATTGAATGAAACGCTTGGATCTGCAGGATGTTGCTTCAGCTGCGCTGCCTTCTGATCATCTATGATTCGATGAAATCCAATTGTTCAAACATGCCCCACCTGAATAGAAAGAACATGGACGGTTCGGTTCTTATAAATTATTGTATAGAACTGATAAGGAACTGAACCGTTCTTAACAGTTCGATTCTTGTCATTTAATGTTCATAGTCTTTAAAAAAATCTTAAAAATCACTGTTAAATTTTTTTCAAAAATACATTTAACGTTTGAAATTACTATACAAATATCTTGAACATCATTTCAAACTGAAAAGTTGAGTTTAAGATATAAATACATAACAAACTGTAAATTTTAGTAAATAAAACAAAACAAGATATTCGCTAAAGAAACTCAAGAAAACCAGTTAAAATGAAAAATAATTTTAAATAGTTAAATATCTAAACTAAAATAGTGAATGTAATATAAAAGTAGATAAGTAAATATACATTAAAATATATATACCAATAAGAAATATATATAATTTTAATTATTATTATATATAACGGTTCCTTAACGGTTCCGGGTACATATTTTTTTCAGGAACCGAGAACCGAACCGTTAATAAAAATAGGAACCGAACCATTAACAAATAACTAATAAATTTTGGGACCGAATCGAATCGGGTCATAACGGTTCGGTCCGGTTTGGTTCTCCAGTTCTTGGTTCCAAAGTTCCAGCCCAAGTAATTAGGACATACGGAATACGTAATACAAAGGCTTAATTAAATATGTACTACGTATTTAGCCCTTCTTTCTTATTTTAAGTTCGCGGTGATTTGAGTTTGCATTCCATATTATAGTTTAAATTGGACTTTACATCCCATTTTTAAAAATCTTTGTTTTTGCACCCCAACCCCATGTGAAAAGACAAAAATGCCCTCAATCAGGAATATGTTGATAGTCAACAGAATTGTTAATGGAGGGGCATTTTTTCTTTTCATATGGGGTTGGGGGTGTAAAAACAGAGATTTTTAAAAATGAGGTGCAAAGTTCAATTTAGACTAAAATATGGGGTGCAAACTCAAATTACTCTTTAAGTTCTTACTAAATTGCGTTTTATTTTATTTTTGTTTTCATTTTTTCTTCATACATTCTTACCAATCCTAAATTTCTAAAAAAACTAGTTTTTCATCCGCAAGTTGCACAGAGCGCACGAGAATTATTATTTTAAATATGGAGTTATAATTGATATAAATGTAAATGTATTATAAATTAATTTGATGTGTAAGGTATATTTTATGTTCTGTTTTAAGAGTGTATCTAATGTCAGAATTTTGAACATACACTACATTAAGTGTATAGGCTCTCTTTTTTCATCACATATCATGAATTTAAATCATGCTGAATTTGTAATCCTAGATACCGTCACATACAACTACCCATGGATAAACATTGAAGATATTCAGCGCACAGACATTTTCGATGACAAAAACCATTCACTCATTAAATTCTTTTGCAGACTAAAAACTCTTTTATTTAATTTGTTCATTCTTTTTGTAATGTGTTACCGAGTCGTACTCCTCTGTTAGGTCATTAGATTATAATTGGAAATGTTTGCTTATTTGTGAAGTAACAAACTATTGGTGAAGTTATGGCATATTTACTATGATTTTAGATAAAAGTTAGACTTTTTGAATTTGGCCACACCACAAATTCATGACTTAAGTTATCAAATCATTCAAACATTTCAATCTGATTGATATTGGTCCCTTAAGATGGAGTTTCTATGAGTACAACACCGTCTTTTAAAATATTGTGCATAATGTAAGGCTCTTCAAAATGGATGACATTAATCTCTCTATGGTTCACAAGGAATTGCAATATAAGAAGAATTACACATTGGGTGAATATATATAACAAAAACTGATTCTTTTCAACAAAAACTATATTACTGTGATTTCTTTATTGGTGTATATAAAGCTAAAGGATAGTACACATTGGTGTAAAACAAGTTTGTTTATGTGTTCTATGAATTATATTTTTTCTAAAACAATAATTTTGTAAAACATGAAAGCAGATCTTATGGCTATTTGTGTTGCTAAATTTTGAACAAATAACCTGCGATGAGTGGATTCAAAAATATTTTCTGGTACTTATATTTAATTTATTCACTTAATTGAATCCATATTAATGTGTAATTATTATAGATGTTAAATTTTATTTACCCAGTGTTACTGAAATTGTTCTTTAGTAATTTATACTATGTCTTTATCTGTCTCAACCACTTCATTTTTAGGAACAATGGCACCTACGAAAAAGTATCTGAAAGATGTTGTTCCGACCTTACCAAAGGGTACTGCTTTTATGGTGATGGTCATCAGAAAATGGAACGAGAAGTTTGGATCGAAAAATCCAACAACCAAATCCGTTGAAATGATTTTCATGCAGTTTTTGTTTCACCTTTTAACTTTACTCATTTTAATCTTAATTTGCTTACTTCTTCATAGTTTTGAAGGTAATTTAAAGTACTAATTCATTATTAATGCTCTTACTAGAGTGCGACAATTCAAGCGACGATTCCAATTGAACTTATTCGTAAATTCGAATATGTTCAAGAAGGATTAATTTATGCTATCGCGCACCCAGATGTGAAGAATAACGAAGGAAGATATAGGGTCACTGGTCATCCATGCCGCTTTGAGTTTACTCCATTCACCAAATTTCTGCATCGAGAACAAACAATCGGTCTTAGTTTTCCACCATCTAGGTTCAGAATTTCTAGCTTCGCGGATATTCAGAACCCAGAAAGCAGTCAAGATCCCTATTTGATAGGTACTTTTTTCAATTAAAACACGCCCAATAATTATATGCAGTTGTGCTTTTGTTTTCTTCAGATTAATCTGCACCTGAAATTTACTTAAAGGCACTATAGTTGATATTGTTAAATCAAATGAATGCAGATATTATTGGTGCTTATGATCTGGCTCAAACTTTTATAAAGCAAAAAACCAAAAAAGGTGATTGGTATGCTGATTTCCGCTTGAAAAACTTGGAGTTAAGTTTCCTTTAAATTATAATAACTTGCCTATTATACATGAATTATTTATCATAATATTTAAATTTCTTGCTATATTAACGCTCTGAATGTACTATTATGAAGGGGCGAGAGTGTGTTATGTACCGTCTACGGTGATTATGTCCTTCAAGTCGAGAATTTTTTGTTTCCTACATCAAAAGATGCTGCTTTAAAAGATCCAGTTATATTTCTTCTCCAGTCGTGCCGCAGAAACCAAAGATATGGTGCGTCTGTGTGTGTAACTATTTGTTACTTTAAAATTACAATAATGTTTGTTTATTCTCATTAAAGTATACGTTTTTGACATGTAGGGGATAAGATTGGAATTGCTTCCTCATGGTATGCTACAAAGTTATTTTTGGATGATCATATTCCAGATATTGAGGATTTTCGCTACCGGTAATGATCATTTTCTTTGTTCTTCGTAACTTAACTGTATGTGTTCAAATTATGATTTATATTTAAATTATGAATGAATTATGAACACATATAGGTATTTGGCTTCAAGGCAAACCACCAAGTGTACTTCAAGCCAGACAACTTCATCTTGTGTTTCTCCGAGAGATGGCGGCACTGATGTCGGGTTTACTATGTCTCTTTGTGATTTAGAGACAGCTAAAGAGGTGATATTTTATATTATTTCCTTGATTATTACTCAATTAGTTCAAACAAAAGCTATCTGAAAGCACAAACTGAATACATAAAAAATAATAATATTCACCAGTGTGAATGGTTGATGATGCTTCTGAAGTTATAGTTGTTGCCACATATTTTGACAATTTGACACTTTTCCCATTTAGATATGTTATTCTTTGGACCTAACAATTAAGCACTTTGATTTAGGTTAAGGGTTGCTGGTTTTACGCTCAAATTAGTTCAATTCTCTCCTTAAAGAATTGGACTTATTTGGGATGCAATGCCAAGACTTGCCTTAAGAAGTTGAAATATGAGGGAGCGTCACTCTACTGCTACAACTGTCGAGAGGTGAAACGGGCAGGTGTTTGGAGATACATGCTGAAATTGAGTGTCAGACATGGTCACCGTTTTGCTGAAGTAGTCATGTGGGATGAGGTGTCATGTAAGCTAATCGGGAAAGCAGCAAATGAACTAAATGACTGTCTTAGCATGGTAGATTGTTAATTTATCATGTTTCATTTTTCTCTAGCATTAACAATATGTTCATGTTATAACATCAATCATTTTCATCTTTTATGCAGGACACTTTATCACCTTCTGAGGTTCCCAATGACATCTTGGATCTCATTGATAGAGAATTGATCTTCAAAATTGGGAACTGCAGAAACAATAGCATGACGGCTCAAAAGGAGTATACAATAACTGCGTTTTCTGAAAATGCAGAAAAAATTAAAGAGCTTAAGGAGGCTACTAATGATGACGTTGTCGAGGTACTAAAATTATTAATCTTAAGAAAATAAATTTGAGCAAACTGAAAACAGATGTTATTGATTGCTGCTGGCAAAATAAGTTCTGTGATATTATTCACTATATTTCAAACTAGCGTTTTCATTGCCTCTCAATGTGCTTAGCCCCTCAATACCCTGGATACGTAACCTGTACTTGCCTTTTAAAATCATGCTAACATGGTGTAAAACGTTAGTGCACTGAAGTGGATTAATTAAAATAATCACAAAACAGAGAGTACCCAAAAATCTGACATGTTCTTCTCAGTCAGTGTGTTGATTCCAATATTTCATTAGCTTATGTGTACTTGAATTATAGAGATTTAGTTTAGTATATTTAATTGATTTAGCCACACGCGAGGCTCTTAGGATTTTGTTACACCGCCATTACATATTTTCTTTTAATCAATTTATATGTGCTTTTTCAGATTTTGAACTTGATCAGGGACAGATCCAAAAGTATTGTTTGTTGGAGATTCAAAAACTGCTGCAGTCAAGGGGCAGATCACTGCGTGACTTTGTTGGCATACCATTGCTACCCGATGAAGACATGCCCACGCTCGAAGAGGTGCTCATTCATGAAGAGTTGCAATACAACAAATCAAATT